CGCGTGGCTGAAACGGTTGAAATACTGTGCGTGACAGCTTCTACACCTGCTGGAACTCTTGGAGTTCTTAGTTTAATGAAGCGAATATCTCAGCTAGAAGGACAATTTCGGTTGAGAAACTTGAACGAACTTGGTTGTTGGTTCCAAAGTATTGATGAAAGCAGACAACAGGTCTTGGTCATTTAGAGCTGACGAATGATGACCTCGGTAATGAAGGATAAAGCGAGTTTAGCCGACGTGCTAAGTGGAAGAAATGATAGAGGTTCTATCACCTCAGGATGTCGAGGTAATAGAACCTAGGGGGCAGTTGTGGGGATATAATTTTTGAGTGACAAACATGTAGCTGAGGTGGCACCGAAGTGTCAGCCGAGGTGCCACGTGTCCTGGTCATAACGCCGAGGTGATCTCGGCTAGGCCGGGGTTATCTACGAAGATACCGAAATCCGGGATAAGCGGATAAGGGACAAGAGTCGTAGAATGAGAGAAGACTTCAGTTTGGATAAAGATAAGACTCTTAGAGAGTTTACTCAAATCCTACTGGGAGTCCAAGATTAATAGTAATCCAAAGTCCATTGAAACTAGGCTTCTATTGGGACTAGGATTGTGTTGGCTATAAAAGGGAGGCACCCATATGGGTCTAAGGTATACTTTTTATGTTTTGAATAGTGAGTTAAACACTTTTGCTATCTTTGAAAGATAACTGGCTTGATCGTCGGAGTGCCCCTGGGTGGACGAACCACTGCCGGAATCTCTTCTTTTCTGTGACAGGTTGTTTGGGTATAATCTATTCTATCAGTGTTCTCCAGCTGAGTGCTTGACTGACAGTGTGGTCGGAAATCAACACACACAGTTTATAATGGCTATATTGGCAGTGTTTGGGAACTCAATTTTTTGATTTTTTTTTTTTGTTTTTTTCACTACAAAATAAATTGGTTACAAAATCACAAAAAATAAATCCAAACAAAGTATTACATCAAATCCCATAATCATTTTACTTTTCTTTCATAAATATCACATCCAACCACAAAAAAATCCAACTATCGTTCCAAACACAAATTTTTTTTTCTCCAATAATATCTTACAACTAAAAAAACTTACAAAAAATTTCACTTCCCAAACACCCACATTCACTAGCCTTCGTTTAATCAATCCAAGTCACATCATCATCATCTCTGTTATGCTACGTTCGCATCTCTATCGACAGGTCACACTGCAAATTTTAGCACTAACAGAACAATATGCTATATTCAAGTGTAGCATATAATGGAAATTTATGTAAATATTTGTATCAAGTGGCTGAAAAATAACTAATGTATGAGTTCTGTTAGATGTGGATAGAGTGGGTGGGACGGTGGAACAAATGATAAAGTGCAGAAAAATGTTATTGTTTGAAAATATGTACGGAGTTTCAACCAAATATTACAAAATATAAAATATTTTATATAAAAATTATTTTCGTTGTAAATTATTTTACGCAAAACACATGGAGCCTACGTTTCACAAATTTGACTAGTATTAGTTAAATGATTGAAACCAACTTCTTGCAAAACAAGTGAGAACAAAAGCGTTTAGGTAGAAAACAGGGCTGGACAAATGAATGTAAGTATTCAATCAACCTGCTCAACCCGGCTCAACCCAACCTAACCATATGGAATTACTTTATAAATATTGATATATATTATATTACTTATTTGTTTAATAAATAAAATATTAAAACTTAAAAGGAAAAATAAGATTTGTTTAGAGAAAATTTACAATTTTATTTGGTAGAGCTTTGAAATTTTAGTTTCAGTCATTGGTTCTCACGTGGTGTTTGTTTGTAATTTTTAAAAATCTATTCCATGTTCACTTTTGAAAACTTAGTCAAAGGCGGAAAAATTTGGATTAACCGGTCGTCCCACTAGACGTCTCACCGGTCGTCCGACAAATTGACCAGTCGATTGACTGAAACAGTGCAATTTTTTTTGTTGCCAATTGACACATTAATTTTTATATATTCAACAAAAAATATTTTAGGATTTTTTAAATTTTTTTTATGAGTTTTAATAAAATTTTAAGTTGTATATTTGGTTATGAATTGTAAGTTTTTGTATCAAATATCATATATTACATCAAAAATTTCCCACCAAATTTAAAACTCTTTTCAAAACTCATTCATTAAACAAATTTTCCACACTCAAATAATAATTCCAAAACTCACAAACTCAAATTACAACTCCTATTCTCAAATCATACTTAGAAAACTCTACCAAACACTACCTAAGTTGTTTGGTTGTATTCTCCAAACATATTTCCACCCTATGTTTTGAGTGTGTTATTTGTTTAGAGTTTTCAAAAATTAATTCCACACACACTTTTGAAAACTCTGTCCCAGGCGGGAAAATTTAGGCTAACAAGTTGTCCTCCAAACGTTAGGCCGGTCATCCTCCTGGACATTTGACCGGTTGACCGGAACAGTGCATATATATACATATATTTTTTTTACAATTGACACATGTTATTATTTATATTTTAAATAAAAAAATTTCAGAATTTTTAAAATTTTTTTATGAGATTTTGAGTTGTGTGTTTGGTTATGAATTATAAATTTTTGTATTAAATATTACATGTCACATCAAAATTTTTTCACTCAATTTAAAACTCTTTTCAAAACTAATTCACCAAACAAATTTTTCATACTTAAATCATAATTCCAAAACTCACAAACTCAAAATACAACTTTATTCTCAAATCATATTTAGAACCAAACATGATTCAGATTTGTTTAATTTCAACACTCATGGGGGTGCCTTAGATTTTTAATTCCGACATTCTACCAAACGCAATCTTAAATTTTTTTTTACCTATAAAATTCAAATTTGTTTAATTTTACCAATCCGATTCAATTCACATATATCTGCCAATCCACCTAACCTGCTTGATTGATTTCGAAACATGAGTAGCCACTGGCATGCAACCTGGCCGAACCCAACTCATGAGCACCCCTAGTAAAAAATATGAATTTATGTACATGCATCATATATATATATATATATATATCAACATGCATTGCTATAGGTAATGTTATTTACTCATGGTCTAAGTAGCACAAACACAAACACAAACACAAACACACACACACACACACACGGTCCAAGTGATTTTTAAAAAATACAAAGACACAATATGCTTAAGACAGGTTATTTTTTTTTTAAATAAATTTATTATATATAAAGTATGTGAATAATTTATTTTAAAAAAAAAAAACAAAACATAACATAACACTAATTAATATTTAAGTTATGTCATAATTTAAAAGTTATATATGACATAACTTAAATATTAAGATATTATTTATATAACAATTATATTATAAAAATTACAAAATAGTTAGAAAGTATTAAAATACACATGATGTGTTAATTAATCTTATAAATGTTTCAAAACACATTTTTTTGTTTTTATTTTTAAGTACAACAGAGAATCTCAAAACACATTTAGAGTGCACTAAGTTGCATTCGGAAAAATGTAAAAGTGTCACTACAGATATATTTATCACATAGATCGTGTTCGGAAGACAGAAGTGTCATTTAAATCTCCACAAAGTGTCAGAATAGTATCTAAAAAGGTAAATTACAAATCCGTTCCTTGAAATTTGATTATAATAGGCATCACTCCTGTAGTCTTGAAAATTACATTCCACCCCATGAAGTTTCTAATAATTTTTAATGATGCTAGACATATGCTCCAATTAATAATTTAGATCATTTTATTATTATATAGGAGAATAATTATGAATTTTATTTTTTTAATTAATTCAGATAAATAAAAAATTCTGACAAAAAAATATTTGTAATTTTTTAAATCACAAAAAATAATCTGTACTTTAAGTAAACTTTAAGAGATGTATTTGTAATTTATCCAACATCACACCTCTATAGAAGTTGATGGTTGAAGGCTGTCCATCGACGATTCTTCTCCCCGTATATGCCTGTGAAGCTCTGCAACAATATTATCTTTGAATCCGATTTCTATGCTCTCATTAGAACGATTCTTCTCCCCGTATATGCCTGTGAAGCTCTGCAACAATATTATCTTTGAATCCGATTTCTATGCTCTCATTAGAGCCTTTAATCTCGACAAAGTTTAAAAAAAAAATAAATAAATAAAAACCCTTGATCAATGCCGAAACTAGAGTGAATTACACTTTGCACCCTTACATTTTGCACCAAATCTCACTTTGGTTCCTACATATAAAATCGTGATAGTTAATCCCTACACTTATGATCAAGTGTCAATTTACCCCTTCTGTTACTCCATTATTTAAGTTTTTAACAGAATTCAGTCATGTAACAAACATGTGACTCCAAAATGAGGACAAGAGAGAAAAATCAATTTCATTTTCCACCAATATATATTTTGTCCTACATGATAAACGTGTGAGAGATATATAATACAATATGTTTGTGTGTGTGTGTTCATATGTTGAAAATTAAGACGAAGAGGTAAGAAAGTTGAGCTTTTGAAATAATAAAAAAAAAGAAAAAAAAAAACAGAGAAATCGAAGACTTTGTTACTGTGGAAAACAAAATTTCATTATTTCAATTTTTGAAAAACCCTATTTTATCTTCTTAATTATTCACAATTTACGTTTTGTTTTAACTAAATACAATTAAAATTTGATGTAAATTTTTGGACGAAATGTGTATAAACGAAAAATTTGGGTGATTTTTCTCTTTTGCCATCATTTTATAGTCATATGCTTATCACATTACTGATTTTTGTTAAAGACTTATATGATGGACTAACAAACGGGAGACATTGACACTTGACTAGAAGTGTAGAGAATTAATTATCATGATTTCATAAGTGCAAGGATTAACTATCACGATTTCATGTGTAAGGATCAAAGTGAGATTTGACCAGAAGCGTAAAAGGGTTGACTGCCACGATTTCATGTATAAGGACAAAAGCGAGACTTGGTGCAAAGTATAATAGTACCCCGAAACTATTAAGACGAGTTTTAACAAGCTAGAAGCATAAATGTTTCAACATATAATCAAAGTAAATATGTACCTATGATGACAAAGAATCAAAAGCAAATCCAGACTACAAAACTATTTTTTCTGCTTTCCCATTTTAATGGACAATCAAGCCTTCCACAAGAACAAGGGAACTGTTGAGCAAAGCAACAAAAACAAATGCAATTAACTAAACATAAATTTCTCTGATGCATAGCAACTTTGAAGCTCAAATTAACGCTTGGTTAAATGCATACAGACCACAAAGAATTACCTGCACAATGAAAAATAAGACGTAAACATTCAACCGAATCAACCTCTCCCCCTCCCTCTTCCTCTTCCTCTAGCTCTTCCCCTTCCCCTTCCCCTTCCCCTCCCTCTGAATCCTGCTCTATCATGGTCGTCAGCATCACCTCTTTGAAAATTGAACATGCTCATTTTCAAGTTCTCTGCCTCCGAGTCATTAGGGCCTCTTTGCATCTGAACAAGCAAAATATCATGAATCAAAGATGGCAAAAACTGTTATGATGAACATGGGTATGACAATTATGAAAACCCTAAGGGACTTTTTTCAGGAAATGAAAGACAAATGAAAGCGAAAGAAAAGTGAGGAAGAAAGAACCAGTTCAAAAAAGACAAAGTGGTTGCTTACTACAAAATCATCCTAATTATTTACCATGTACAACTATAAATGAGACCTAATCAATCTACTAATCTGATTTTATTGTTAACCATTTAAGAAGTTTATAGAATGGTACTAATAATAGTACCATTCTAATATAATAAAAGTCTTACAAGATATATATGCATAAATTAATAATAGAAGTGATAATATTAATCCTAGTATTAGTAGCAATATGATAATGGTGGTAGTAAAATTAACACAGCAACATGTGAGGATGCTAACAGGAAGGTCTTCCAAATCGAATTGGCTTTGAAGTTGCCATGCAAGATCCTCATCTTGGTTAACATTGGGAAGTTCAGCTCTCATTAAAGGATTTCCCCCTGCTTTTCTCCTTTCCCACTCATCTAAAGTGAAAACTGGCGTGTCTTCCTCTTTCCCCTTTCCTCTATGTCTTTGACCTCTAGAATGACGATCATCCCGGTTTGGCTGATTCATTCTCTGTAGGAGCTTTTGTGCAGCCGCTTGATTTTGAATGGGTACAGATTCAACCACTGTCAGAGATAAAAATATCTACATCAGTGTAATTGTAAAAAACTTACAATAGAGAGAACTTCAATTTAAACAAACTGCAGTAAGGATTTACAGTCATGGTTGTTAGAATTGTACGATTCACGATTCGATTCATACTATTTGATGCAATTTTCAACAAAATATGATTGGAATCATGCTATTGAAACATAAATTGAGTGAATTGTACGATTCAGTTTGCAATTCACTACGATTCGTTACGATTCAGTTCTATTTTTGTTTTCGCTTACTTTATGCATAAAATGAGGTCGTTTTCGCTAAACCAGCAAGATATAAAGAAGAGATCAATTAAATATATTGATATACATGATGTTATATGTATATACATATATAAATTTAGCTATATTGATATTTACATCATTTTAAACACACTAGGTAGATTTTTATATGTATATAGATATATAAAATTATGTATTATATTAAAGAAAATGAATCTTACGATTCACGATTTACTATTTTAGCAAAATGATTCACAATTAAATTTGCGATTCGACAACAATATTTACAGTAGTTAAAATTCATGTATTTGATTCACTATTTTAACCCCTTATAGTGGGTGTTTGGAAAGTTGCTATTTTAGCTTTTGGCTATTTTAGTAGGCTAAAATTTTTATGTTTGAAACGATAGTTGGATTTTTTTGTAGTTGGATATGATGTTTGTGAGAGAAAAAGTGAAATAATTATAAGTTTGATGTGACATTTTGTCTAATTGTCTATTTTAGCATATTTTGTCTTTTTGTAAATTTTAGCCCAAAAAGCCAAAAAAATAGCCTTTGCCAAATGTCTATCCGGTTTATCAACCACAAGTAATGATCAATATGCAATACTAGAATTTCTTACTGCGCTACAAATAGATATGAAATCACACCTTCTTTTGGTCTTTCTTCAGAGCTACCTGGCTTTTCTTCAGTTCTTTCAGTGCTAGAAGCTGATTTTACATTGTTATCCACGCCACCTGCCTTTGAATCAAAGTTATGGAGCCTAGATTCAGAACTTCCGTCTTTTGCCAGAACAGTAGGCTTGGAACTTTTGGAGGTTGACCCAGAATACTCTGCATTTCATCATCTTTTCTTAAAGACTTGCAAAGCAAATTACTTTTTTATTTTTCTGTAGTTTGTTAACAATAGATATAATAGAAAGATCTCCACAAGGACATTGATTCAAGAGGAAGAATAAATTACGACATTTGTTTAAAACCGACCGAACACAGCCAAATATGTTCTTAACAAAATGTCAAGTCTCTATAATCCTTCCTAATTTCAGCTAGCTGCCTATCTTACTTTGCACAGATGTAAATGTCATTAGTTCCAATTCTTTGAAACCAATCTCCTGGTTGAAGAACAATCCACCACCTTAAACAATTAATGCTTTCAATGTTTGAACTAATACTACACTTCTGCATCTAAATAGTAATTCTAGATGTGTCTACAGTACATCATAATATACAAGTTACCAAATGTTTCCTTTAAAAGATCCCTCATAGTAATAGAAGCATTGAAATGCCATATCAAAACAGTGCATAACTTAAATGAAAATGAACCCCAAACCCCATGTGGACCAGTGGAGGGGAAAAGTAGGGAAAAAAATGCAGAGAAAAAAACTAGAAAAAAGAAAGGGTTTGTAATACTAACGAGAAGATCTTCCTTGAGGCCGTTGACGTGAAAGTGCACCAATTTGCAACTTCTCAAATGGTGGAGGACCACCGTTGTCACTTTCCTTTGATATTCTTAAGGATGAACGGGAGAAACCTGAATATTTTTGGTTCATCTGCCATTCTTCATACAGTGACTGAACCACACCACCTAATACAGTTATCACTCTAGGATTCAAACACACAATACCACCACGTACTGCAGCCTTATTTTCCAAACGAACCTGCCAATTTAAATGTATGTCATTTCATTGAAAAGCACAAACATAATATGGACAAGCTATGAAGACTCTAGAAACTGGTTCAGAAAATGAAATGACCTTTATGATTGCCAACATCACCAGTTTTTTTTGATTTATTTTTTTTTTTTTTTTTTTTTAATGTAAAACTGAATTTTAACAATGTGTAGCGTTCAAAGAGACGCAATGTGAAGGTGGTGCTCTTAACAATTTTATGAATGTATTATGTCTTAGAATTTATGCAAATTAGAAGTGTAAGTTAATTTGTTATGTTGGAAGGTATATATTAATTTAAAATTTTAAGTTGCAAATTGTAGGAATAGAGATGGCAATTTAAACCCGACCCGATAGAGACCCGACCCCCCGACCCCGATTAACACGGAGTTTCCCCGAAAAATACCCCCGATGGGCCGGGGATGGAATTCAAAAAAAATCCCCGATCATTTTCGGGCCGGGGACGGTGATAAGTTGTTCCACCCTGGCCCCGTTCCCCATCCCGTTTCTCCCCGCCTCCCTCTCTCTCTCTCTCATTTCAGATCTAATATAATATACTCATCTAATTATATCTAAAAATTATAATATATACTCATCTCTCTCTCTCTCTCTCTCATCTCAGATCTCATCTAACAATCCGAAAACCAAAACACACCTCTTATCTCTCTCATTTTAGATCTCTCTCTCTTATCTCAAATCCTCTCTTTCTCCGCCGCTTTGTCTCTCGTCTCTCCGCCGCCATGGTCGCACTTCGCCGCTTGTTCTCAAGCTCGTTGCAACAGAGCTTTGACAGCTCCGCCGCTCGTCACTCCACCGCAACCAAAGTCTCCATCTTCTCTCTTAAGCTCGCCGCCCGTCAACGATCAAGACCTCTCTTCTCTGCCCGTGTGTCTCTGTGTGTGTGTGATGATGATGATGATGATGGCGACTCAGATCTCAGATCTACAGATGTGTGTGTTTGTGTGTGTGTGTGTGAGAGAGAGAGAGAGTGAGATGATGATGATGATGATGATGATGATGATGATGATGATGATAATGACGACTCAGATCTTAGATGTGTGTGTGTGTGTGTGTGATGATGACGGCTCAATCAGCTCTGTAACTCTGTCACCGTTGGGGATTTTTCGGGGTCGGGAAAACCCGATCCCCGTTAGGGGACGGGGGTGGGGGGAGTGAGGGGTTTCCCGTCGGGGATCGGGGTCGGGGACGAGGAGTGGGATCCCCAGCCCTGCCCTGCCCCGCCCCCGTTGCCATAATCCTCGGCCCCGCCCCGTTGCCATTCCTATGTAGGAAGGCAATGTAAAAAATTAACATGGGGATTTATATAAAATTTTATCAAAGCTGCAAATTTATTTGGACTGTATTTCAAAGGAAAAAAAAAAAAAAAAAAACACGACGTCAGGAAGATATATTTGACATGTATCTTGATTCTCGTGTGCATCTTTGTACCATATTCAGCAAAATGAGTTTTCAATCAACAATACAATGAATTAATGATGTGAGTAATACAAGGCTATGGTAAATTATTATAATAATAATTATTTTACAATTAACTACTCTTGTACGAAATGTTTCAAAAAAATAAATAAATAAAATAAAGTTTCAATGTCTGATTCCATAATCCATCTGTAACCAGAATGGCATCTCAATTGATTAAAATGTGAAGTCTCAAACTTTACAAACCTCAAACATACATGTGTACATTATATGTATATGTGTGTGCGTATGTGTCTGTAAAGTCCAATAATTCGTTTAAACAAATTCGTTTGATGTCCTCCAAAAAGAAACTCGTCAAAAATCATAAACACAAGCTCATCAATTAATAATCAATCACTTCAATAAATAAATATATAAAAAAAAAAGAAAGAAAAAGAAAAAAAAAAAAAACCCCTCAATCTTAGATAACAAAAATAGAAAATAAACAAAATAGGCTGTACATATTTAACATAAGTTTCCTTCATCTTTTCCACTCACATGTCTAGCTCTCCATCAAAATAAGAATAAATGCAAAAATGAAGAAGGGAGGAAATTTGTAAGGTTTTTAAACAAAAAGACATGAAAGAGGGATGAAAGAAGAGAAGAGTCCAAGAGAAGGGAAGGGTTGGAGGAAAAGGGACATACGTCAATTCTTTATGTTGAAAAATGGCAAGTGTTTAAAGTGTGCCAATTTAAAGGCACAACTATACTTATATTATATATGATGTATACAATGATTGCAGCTATAATGAGCAAAACACATAGACATGAAATGATTTCCTTTCAAGTTCATTGAATGGCAAATTAGCAACTTGGATGTTTATTACAAATGAGTTTTGCTGTTTATTGTGCATATTGGGCAAGAAATTCTGAAGTTACACAAAGATGTTACAACAAACACTTGCCTAATCACTACAACCAGGGTGCATGACACCTCAATTCTATATAGTATAAAACTAAGACAATACATTATATACAAATAAAACAAATCGATTACCTATAATAAAAACAGCAAGGGTGCAAACATCTGCCTCTCATTTTGTTATTACAATTTTTTTTTGATAAATAATTTTGTTATTACAATTTGACCCTTCCTTTATCTTTTTTTACTTCTTTACGGGAAGAAAAGAAGCTGCCAAGGTTTGTCTTCTCCACAGTTTTTGGCAACCAACTTAACACAATGCCATATTCTTTTGTAGCCTTTTTGACAACACACTATATAGTATCAAAAATAATAATTCTAAAATAATCATATTTATTTATCATGTTTTACTTACCATTTTATGTGTTTCTAGTGGATTGACAACTGATATGAGTCATGTAACTCATTGAACTAATGAAATTTATAACATGAGATGCTAAATTAAACAAGATATATATAAATATGGTCATTATAACATTTGAATATATATTTATTTATCATGTTTTGTCGACCATCTTATGTGTTATTAGTGGTTGATAATTGATCTGAGTGATATGGCTCATTAAACCAATGAAATTTTAACACATGAAATGGTAAATAAAACATGATATATAAATGTGGTCATAGTATCATTATTTAAAAAAAAAATTAAAATAAAATAATGTTATGATTATCATCTTATATGTCAATATATATTGGTTTAATATTTCACCTAGTTACCAAAATATGAAACATTGCACATGATGAAGGTGGTTAACAGTAACAATTGACAGTGATAATGAAAATGATCAAATTAAGATGGAGACAATCAACATAGATAATTACTATCACTGAGTCTAAATGAAAGGAATTAACGATGATGCAGGCAATTGATAGCAATAATCAAATTGAGAGAGAGAGATTAATAGTGTATAATTATATTTAAATCTAATTATTAGCGTTGATAATTGACATCATAAAATTGAATTCTATAAAATAATAAAATGATCGTGATTCTAGAAGCGATTGATAGTGATAATTGACATCATCGACTTTAATTCCAACAAAACGAAAAATAATCAAGATGATGATCAAATTGTTAATGTCGTTGTGCAGCATGTTCCAAACCACTAGTCACAATACAAAAGGAGAGAACAAAGTTTTCATTTGTGTATGACAAAACTCATGCTAGAGTGTGTGAGTGTGAGTGAAGCTAGAGAGAGAAGAAGAAAATAATAAGAAACAAAGGAAAATTGAGGAAGAATTTAAAGGTATGTATTGTATTTCTAAGTTTATATTCTTACAATTGATTAGGTGGATCACAAGAAGATAAACCATTTAGGTTGTTTTTAGAGCTGTACACGGGTCGGGTCATCTCGGTTTCCCCCTCAACCCATCAACCAACCCAACCATGGCGGGTTACACTTGCAATGAACCAATTCCGACCACTGCACTGTTTGAAATCGACCGTTCATGAGATACGGTTTTGACGTTGGTTTCGGTCGAGTTGCATGGGTCATAGAAAATCACAAACAAAAAACAAAAACAGAAAAGAAAGATCTAAGAATGATTTGTGAAGAAGAAATCAAAGAACAAAATAACAATAAAGGGAAACAGAAAGGAATAAACTCACAAGAAATCAAAGCCTTCATCCATTTTGCAAGTGGATTGAAATCTGTTCATCATCAACTCACTAGAGTAACCCAACTTAGGGTTTGGCCCTTTGGCATCAAATTAGAGGATGGGTTTCGAAAATCAAAATATTAGAAGCGAGAGGGGAGAGGAGGTGATGATGTTTCAAATTTTAGAGTAGAGATGCAAGAATGATGGAAGGAGATTAGCGACAGAGAAGAGGGGATATCTGAAAAAAAATAAAAATAAAAAAAATAAAAAATGTGATAGAGAGAGAAATACTTGTGAGATAGAGGAGAAAGATAGACATCTTTGGAATATGTAAATGAGAGAGAGAGAGAGAGAGAGAGAGTCAAGAGAAGAAGAGACATCTTTGGAATACGTAATGGCTTTTGTAATAATGACAGTCTTACAAATAATGATGCAATACAGAAAGGCAATAGAACTATGACAGATATCAAAATTATTTTTTAATTATTATCAATCGGATCAGTTTTTGTCGGTTGGTACACTTATTGAACTACCGCCCGTCCGAAAAATTGAAAATTTTCACTCCTCCTACCTGCAGCCGACCGTTACTTCCTCAAAAACCGACCATTTCTTGATTTTTCGGATCGGATTGGTCGGTTTGGGAGGGTGATTCGGGTTTTTGTACAGCCCTAGTTGTTTTTATAGAATGGTGGTTACTAGGTCGGTAGCAGTCTTTGATATCTGCATACTGAATTAGACCAAAACTGACGGTATTTAAGTGCTCTAGAACATTACCCACATAGATATTAAGTTAAGCTACCCCCATTTCTAAATTCCTAATCCCGATTTGGTAGCAATCCCAACCCCCTTTACTCATCTCTCTCTGCCAAATCACAAATGCGTCAAAAAATTAGACTTTGTTCATGAGTATATTTTCAATTCTCACAGGCAAATCGACTGTTCACACTTACTCTCAAATTCTGTGTGTGTGTGTGTATCAATGTGTGTAAACTATATATGCCTTTAGTTTTTTTAGCTTTTCTTAGAATCCTAGGGATATCTGTATACTAAACACAATGCATTTGCAATTTTACATCTGAAGTGTTTGATGATTTGATAAATGAAGAAAATGGATTGAATTTGATAAATGCTTGTAGTTATTTTCTGAAGCAATTAACAATATAGGTAGTTTAGAAAAATGAAAATGCTACAAAGCTTCAAAACCTTCTCAGTTGTGTGCTTTATATAATAGTATTGATATAGTTGTATGTTTTATCATTAATCAGAAATCTGGAAGAGAGAATTAACATAATGGTTTTGTTCCTCAATACCTGCTCCTACGACCTAGAATAGCCACTAAAGCCTCAAACATATGACATATACGCGTGTACATGTAAAGTCTTATAGGCTATGATACGCAGTATGGAATTGACTTTCTCAACAACGAAACATGAAAGGCATCATGAACATGGGTCATCTCCAGAGGTAAAGCCACAACAATCATTGAAATCTCTAAAAAAACATTGATTGAGATAGTCGAGAGGTAGTGGTACATGGTAGAGATTGGGGAGATGATAGGCTTTCAGTGATGATTTGTGGTGATGGTCATGAGGTAGTGGTTATCGAGGGGCTGCTATGTCTCATCCAACTTAGACAGAGAGAGGAAGATGAGTTGTGTGGTGACGCATGGAGGAGGTTTAAGAAAACCCTTTCAAGGTTGTCATCACCGACCTCAAGCTCGAAAACAACTACAAGTTCATCCACCATCACAAGGCCAATGGGCGTGGACTCATGTCACATTTTGTGTGAGAAACCAAATTGACTTCTTGGAGAGATAATACACTTGTACTATGAGAGCCAGATAAAGAGAATAGAGCTAATGAAAATGGGTATATCTATTTATCGAAAAAAGGGGGTAAAACTGAGAGAGAGAGAGAGAGAGAGAGAGAGGAATTTATTTTTTTATTTGAATTTCATCATTGGATGGTAACAATGTGATGGGAAAAAATGAAAGCGCAACTTTCGCTAACTCTGTTTATTTGGCATCACTAACAAGGCAGGTCTTTGCAAGTTCAGAAACCCGAGGAAAGGTATCTGTCATTATTGAAAACTTCCAGGAAGGTCAGTGGTAATTTACCCTAAAAAGTACAGAATCATCATAAACACAAAAGATATTTAGACAAACTTATTGAATAACTTCCATGTTGATAAATAGATTTTTTTTTCTTTTTTTAAAAAAAAAAAAAAAAAAAGCTCTGCCACTCTATGAAGTAACCCCGGGGAGTGGATTTCTTGGGACCATCTTCACTAGTGAACTTGATCAATAATGTGATGAAGCACATTATTTTGCTGTTTGTCTCTGCATTTTATTGTAAGCAAGCAAATCATGTTAATTTATTTATAAACCCATTTAGTTTTGTGTATTGCTCCCATCACCTAGAAATGTATATAGATACTTAACTAGCACCAAAATGGATAACAAAATGAACACATTAGAACTTGCAAAGCACAAGAATTCAAAATTTGAATGACAATACCTTAGTGCCAGGAATGACATCATCAGAAATTGATGGTATATGAAAGTACTCTATAGCAGTGATCTCAGAATGCCCATCTGTAAGAGTCAATCTCAAAAGACGCTGATTATTTGAATTTCCTGAATTATCAGCTATACTGCTTCGAGATATGTCCCTCGTGGAGGAAATCTTGGAGAGAGGGGAGGCAGAGGATTTAGTTAGTGCGAAAGTGAGAACAGAAGAATATAATTAATGCGTTGGGGTTTTTACTTTCATTTTTGGTAAACCAGCAATGCTCTGTTTGGTTACCAAGAAAAGGCAGGAAGTATTTAAAAAGTTGCACTGTGTTTGGAACCAATTTTTCTTAGAAATGGGATTTTAAAATGGAAAGGGAAAGGAATGAATTTGTACGGAAATGTCTTCTTTTTTATTGTGTGTGTTTGGAACTAATTGAAACTAAAAGGACCATTTTTTCTGTTTGGTTTATGAGAAATTGGAAAGAAAATTTATTTGCACACAATTAAAAAGTTAATGAAAAAGGGAAGTTAAATGAAAGAATTGCAATGTTTAAGATTTTCCAATTCCCATGAAATCCCATCATTTTTCATTGAATTTCAAGATGGCCATTTTTTTTTTTTTTGAGTACTTTCAAATCCAACCAAATCAAATCCCACGTAATTCCATTCATACCAAATTCCATTTTCAAATCCATCAAATTCCACCATTCCAAACATGCTGTTAGGGTTTTAACGCGCACACACACAATTCCACTCAATTGGACCTAATACAACCACATATTTTCCCTTTTTGTTAGAAACCCAACAACACAACAGCATAAAACAACTCCAATTCTAATTTCATCTCCTTAACCAAGTGAAAGAGTGATTTTAAGATGAAAATTGAGAGAGAGAGAGAGAGAGAGAGAGAGAGAGAGAGAGAGATGGTTGCTTGCCTGAAGGACTTTGGGGCCTTGGAAATGAGAAGCCTTGCGGAGGACAGAAGGATCAGGTAATGATTTGCCACCGATTTCACGCAAGTCCATGTTTGCGAGCTCTGATTCAACCGAATCAACGGTACATGCCTCTCCATACAAAGCCCATTGAACTACGATGAGGGCTTTCACCTTTTCCAGGTCTCCGAAGCACCACCCTCTGCTTATTAGGGTTCGAATCAGACCTTCCGAAGCAGCCAATGAAGAAGACGAGGCCTCCATTGTTAGCGCCCTTCAGGTGTACGATCTTTGAACCGTGTGTGTGTGTGTGTGTGTGTGTGTGTGTGAGAGAGAGAGAGAGAAAGTTGATTTGGTGGTTCATGGTTTGGGCCCAAAAGCTTTCTTATGCTTGAAATGTTATGGGCTTTCTGGCAATGTATTTCAATAATGATTTTGGGCTTTCTGGGTGAGAAGTTATAGGTTCGTCTTGAGCTGTGGTCACGTAGTGCTTTAAGAGCATGTTTGATTGATAAAATTAGAATATAGGATTGAAATTATTAATTCGTGAGTTTAATTATTTTATATTTATTTTAAAATTTTATTTTAGAATTATTAATTTAATAAATAATTAATTTAATAAATTTGTAAGATTATTAGTAATGGAGTAGGGGTAAGATTATATATCCTGAATTAAGAAATAAAATAAAAAGACTCTTTTACTCTTGACTAAAAATTAAAACACTTATTTAGTGTGTTTGGTTTGAGTTTTTTGAATTAAGTTTTTTGAAAATTGAATTTTTTGGTTTTCGTATTTTTTTGTTTTTAGTGAATATTTTTAAAAAATTGAATTTTTTGGTTTTCGTATTTTTTTGTTTTTAGTGAATATTTTTAAAATTTTAAACATTTTTTTTACTTTTTTAGATACACCTTACTCAAATGTATCTAAAAAGTAAAAAAATTGTGAAAAAATATTTTAAAAAATTAATAAATACATAAAAATACAAAATATGTACGGAATTCTCGTATTTTTTTTTTGATTTTTGGTATTTAGTGAATTTTTAAAAGGTTTCTTTCACAAATTTTTTACTTTTTAGGTATATTTATGTTAGGTATGTCTAAAAAGTAAAAAAAATTGCTTAAAATATTAAAAAAAT